TTGTATGTTTGACGTGTGACAATATGACGAACTGCATAAGATCGGAAAGCGAGTTAAACCAATAATGGATTTTAAATCGCAGCTCTTAGGCGCCCGTTTCCGCGTTAAGCGGTGCCGGCGTCGCCATCGGTGTAACCGCCCCGCTAAATTTAGCGAGAAATTGAATTGGTACTTATGTCACGTGACGTCCATTTTCCCGCTAAATCTAGCACTGAAACAAATTTTGTTCATGTTTCCCCGCTAAATTGTGCGGGGAAACGCGACCCGTTAGCTTACTGAAGATGCAAGACGCTACTTCGTCGTCCCGAATCCTTTTCCCTTCGAACGGCTGCAAAGGCGTTGCGCCCGGAGTACCCAACGCAGCATCTTTCAAAAACCGTTCCCGCAGCATCGCAACCTTCCGTTTGCGAGCGTCTGTGATTCATCGTGTGTTGAAAGTCGTAAGATGTGCTGTCCGTGGTGGCGTTTATGTGTAACTCTTTCGTAAAAAAATTTCAAATTTGAAAACGCGAACCTAACAGTGTACACCTACTTTTAAATTTATTGGTCAAACATATATATATTTATTTATCTATTTATTTGTGGACATCGTGTGCAAAAAAAAAAATAGTGGCGCTTATTTTGCATTCAAAATTATAATGTGGGTTATACGGCGTAAAACATAGTATCTTCAAACTCGCATCGTTTTGGATCACTTTCGAGCTGGACAGCTTCTTGGGAAGTTCAAAAGCTGGACTTCATAGAGCTGTCCTGTTCACTCAGTACTGACAGCAGGGTAGATGCTATGCATGTTGTAGGCCAATCGGGTTTCCAGTTAGGGTTACGTGACTACAGTCTAGAAGCTGGTGATAAGGCAGAACACGGCACCTGCCTGGAGCCCAAAGCCCCCCCCCCCCCACACACACACACACAAACATAGCATTCACTGCACTATCAACCTTGGGTACAAATGACAAATCCGCCCGTTGTGGTCATTGATGCCCCTGAAGATAAGCCTTTTCTGTGTGCACTTCCGTTTTGGCCTTTCCTTCTCTCCTTTTCTCTCTCTCTCCCCAAGCTGAAAGCGTGGTAGAACGTACGCGCTTTCCGAACCAAACAGCCATAGACTTTTCTCTCTGTGCACGGGAAATGTCAGAAGCGTGGTCGCGTGGTGTGACGGATAACGCATTAGCCGTTGGAAATCTCGGAGTGCATTCTGCCGGACTTATACTCCGTTTCACCTTATGTTGTACCGCAAAGAAAGCTAGAAGCGCGAGCTCATAGCGTCGGGAGCTGCTCTTAACTCACGAGAGCGTGTGCCTTCGAGATATGCCCTGAAGCAAGGAGCTCGCGCTTGTAGCCTTTCCTGCGGTACTCCATAAGGTGAAACAGAGTATAGTTTGGCATGTGTTGCGCCCTGCGTGGCTGCTACAGATTTCTGCTTGTGCAATAAATTCGAAAAGTCCTACCCGTATATCGGCAACAAGCGATTTCTTCACAGAAGCCCAAGAATTGTTTGTGATGCGTTTGCTCTTCGGTTCTACAAATGACAGCTTGTGCTACGTCGTCTTGAATCTTCACAGACACCTTCCTTCTCGTTTTTGTGTCTGAGTGGTGGTTCTGCCGTGGCCGTGTCGACATATATCTCGGATTATACCTTTCAAGACCCGTCTCGTCAACGTAAGTGCGCTGCAACCTACTTCGCGACAATTGATCGTTTTCCTAAAGGTTGTTTTCCCTTGATTACCTCTAGAATTAGGCCGTGTCTATCTTCTGGCAGCCGGGAAAATAATTTCTCCTAAATTTGTAAATCATGTCACAACTGCAGGTGCAATACTGATTTTTTTAATTCTCCCTTCGTTTCGTGATAACACGTTCCACGGCCACCCTCTCGTGGATACACGTTTCATGGACAGACGTTTCGTCGACATTAACGTTTTATCGACACTCGTTAAGCGAATGTCAATAATCATGCTTCCCCTGGGAATTAAGTTAAGCGAAATCAGGAGTGGCGTAAAGTGCAACTCATGTAAAAATTAATAAAAGTTGGTAAAAGTTCAAAATCCAATTGGTATCTTTCTTATATAGATGAAAAGTCACTTTTTGGTAGTTATTTGTAGAAAATAACAATACATATATATATAAATGTTGACTTATTTGATTGGGACATATCTGGCCTTATATAGGAGGCAGATATACCCTCTTTGGCAGACTCAGTTATGGATATATGAAAAATTGGGCATATCTGGCTAGATATGCCTTATATAATCTGATGTGCTTGATATGACCAGTTATGCCCAATATTTTATATAACCATATTTGTTTTCTTGTTTTTTTATATATATAAGTCCAGATATGCCATTTTCGTAAGGTATGTCATCTCAATGCCTGTGGTCTCGTTGGCAAAGGAGCGATAATGCTATGCTCAAAACTCGGTACACCCTGCGTTTCTTAAGTTGTCAGCGATTAAACTAGTATTTAGGCTAAAAAATTGTGCATGGTCATACAATGACTGTAGCAGCGCAGCTCTCATCTTCGAGAGCCGAGGCGTCCTCCCTTTGAGGGGCCGTCAATCTAGTTCTGAGGCGCGTTGTGTTGTTGGTGGCGCAACCTTGGGCAGCCCTTGAGAGTGAGCTTCCTCGCTGAGCGATGGCCTTGCTTCTCATCTCGCGTCGCCGCTTTCCTTTCGCCGAGCGCGTAGCCTCCAACGCGGAAGGCTCATTGTTGACATCCTCCGATGTCTCGTTCGAGCTCAATACATCCAGGAAGGCTCCGACTCGGAGGACGATTTGATGCAGAACATGGACGGTAATAATGCGACAGCCATTTTACCGTGTTTACAACGACTTTTAACAACTTTCTTTTTTGACTCAAAGATGCGGCGGAATAAACTGTCTATACTACGCCTCGCTAAATTCTTCGGATATTTTGGTATACAGTATCGAAACGTACCACAAAACAGAATTCTAGGGTTGTGTAAAGACAGTACATAATCAGCTTAGCTCTGGGATCGATTCGATTCGTGTGAACGATTCAACTTGCTAGCTGGCGTATCATATCCGATCTATTCGACAGCTTACGTGAAAATGAGAACAACGGAAACGCATCGAACTGCAGCGACAAATCACGGAGCACGAGGCAGCGCTGAACGGAGCTGGCGGCGGACTTCGGCCGTATGTTCTGCATGCACCTATAGCGTGTCTTACGCCTGTAGGCAATCAGGCGCGATTGCAAGTTTCCAAAAGGAACCTTCACCTGCGTAGCGAACTTGCACAAAGCGGAAACCCAGTTCGTACGCAATGCCTGGATATACCCATGGGGCAACGAAGTTTGGTTTGACAAGTGGAGCCATCTTATGGGGACTGTTTGCAACTCGGAGACGGCCGCTCGTTTGCGATCATCGCACTTGATCTCGAGCTCGAATCTCCGAGCGACGTTCCGAACTGTGACGCGGGGCTCGTGTCCGATCGCCCGGTGACATGGCCCTTCCCAAAGTTGTCCCTTTCTGGTCAACAGCCGCGCTGACTAGCAGCCGACTGATGCGCCACCTGATCACCGCCCTGGGGCTATACCCTTCCTCAAAATCAGATGCACAAAGCAGGACAATCCGAAGAAGCTGCACAATAGTAGAACAGCTGACTCCGTGTAGCAAGCATGCGCATATGATGGCGAGGAAGCGGAATCTGAAACGCTTTTGTAGGTTTATTTAAACCATGATTCATTCGTGTCTGTCACAGTGCAGGATCTTTAACCCGCAGTCGTAGTGCTCGCGCGTCATACAAAAGAGTCGGTGTTGTCTATAGACATGATGGCAGGAGTATCATGTGGACACGCCTCAATAATATTCGAAGCACGCTTGCTTCATACGTTTGTGTGCTTCGAACATGTCTGCAGACTGTATTTTGTGTGGCCAATCCGACAGGACCGCCATACAAGAAGGATAGATGGATGTTAGTAGCTATGCCCTTTCTAACGGGCGGTAGCTTGCGGCATCTAGCGTGGAAACACGCCTTGGACAGTGTCTGTAGAGTGTCTTTCGTATGATTTATTGGCAGCGCTGACAGAGAGAGCATCTGAAAGGCATTAATTTGGAATACATACTCTAACGAGGAATTAATTGGTTCGTGTACTGTCGCCCACAGTCCTAACTACACCACCCCTAAACTGTCTTGTCTTATACTTCTCGGGTCATTTTATGAGCTACGCTGCCGACAGGCTGCTCTAAGCGTCCGCTTAATGACTCGTTCGTTTATTCTTACTGCACACAGACAGTTTTTCAGGTGGTGCCGCTTTCTGAGTTAAGCGAGGGCTTCTGAAACCAAAGTATAGGTCACATTTGAGGTGAAGTCAAACTATCGGCAATGTTGTGCGTGTGCATCTCCGGAGAAACAATATATAACGGACTGCGTGAATACAAAAGTCACTGGTTGCTGCGACACGACCATCTTAAAACAGCGCCTTTGGACAACACTACTGCTGCATCGCTTCCCTCCTTCCTTTATTAGTTGGTTTTGTTCTTTCAGTTTTTCGATTGGCGTCGTTCCGAAAAATGATTATTGCCGTGCCCCACACGCATCTTTCCCTCCTTCCTGTTCGCCTATGCCATTTGTCTATGCCCTGAGCAAGAGGATAGATGTCCGATCACACACTTGCAACTGCTTAAGACCGTGTGCCTCGAAACCTCTTGTGATCTGTTGCGATGACAGAATGCACTAGCACCACCTATCGTAAAAAAGCGTTTCATAATTCATAACGCCTTAGTGAAAAATCACAGACCAGGAACAAATACGTTGGTATTTGCGATTTTTATCTGTTCCCGATGGATGGATAGATGGATGGATTTGCAACAGGCGGCAGCTTGCGCCACCTAGCCTAACATTTCGTCATCCCTTCTTTGTTTTTAAATTTTGTAACGTTTTTAACGTTTTTTAATGAAATTAGTTTTGCAGTTTGCTTGCGTTTTTTCCCCAGTTTTTTGCTTAAAAGGGCCTTTCTTTTTCCCCTTTTCTTGTCGCTTGCAGAGTCCGGCGGCAGCGCGGCCCAGGGCCATGAATCCCGCCGGGCCCCGGCCCCCGGACGAGCAGGGCCCCAGCGGCCCGGCCAACGGTGACCTGCTGCACGCGTACGAGCCGCCCCAGCCGACGCCTCCACCGCCGGAGGAACCCGCAGCGGACATGCCGTCGGCGCCGCTGCCTCCGCCCCCGCTCCCTCCGCCGCCCCCGTCCGAGGGACCCGAGTCCAGCCTGCTCCAGGGCTCGCTACTCGAGAACCCTCGGCCGCCGGCGCCCTTCGACGGCGCCCCGGAGGACCCGCAGAACAGGAAGGGCTCGGCCGACTCCTCGCAAGTCGTCGTCCGCAAATGCCGGTAAGCAGGCCTTTTGTTTCGAAGTACCGTCAAGCATGGTGCACGGCGGGATAAGTATTCGGAGAAAGCTCGTGGAATAAGTCAACATTTAAGCCAATTTCGGCACTCTGACTGGCCCGTGTTCATGAATCGGCGTCACCGTTCCGTCACCACATCTGGTTTTCGGGGGAAGGGAAAGGTGGGAAGAGTGGCAGGTCAAGAACGAAGTGGAAGCTCCTCCCACCCCTTTCCACTTCAGCGGAGCGAACGGTGGAGAGGAGGTCGCCTCCTCTCCAGCGTTCGCTCTACTAAAGTGGAAAGAGGTGGGAGGAGCTTCCACTTTGTTCTTGACATGAGTGAATCACGCCTAACTTCTAGCTGGCTACCAGACCGTAACGCGAAAGAAAATCTGGGAGCTGTTTAAAAGCTAGCGCGTTTCTCTCTCGCCTTCTTCGGTGTCACGTGGCAGACGCTGCGGAAGCAAGGAGAAGAACACACTATTTTCTCATATTTCGTGCACGCTAGGCGTGCAACCTTCCAAATAATTTTTTTTATTTATTTATTCTTTTTTATTTTTTTTTTTGCACGTGTATAGATATTTTGAAAACAAAAATGAAGTGATGGAGCGTGGAAACGGTCCAAGACGATCGCTTTCGAAAATTACTGCCCCGCGAAACCTCCTTCAGCAATGCTAGAAATTTTTCCTTCTTTCTTCGCCACCTTGAGCTGGTGTGTAGGGTCAAGCCGTCAGACCTCAGTAGGACTGCCAAAGGTTGTCCAAGGCGTCCCAGCAAAGCGTTTTCCACTCACGAAGTCCAGAAGACTAGCTTTCATGGTGAAAACACGTATGCATAAAAGCACGCTAGCATATACGCACCGGCCCTTCCTATTTGCGGAGACCGGATCAACACATAATCTAATTTCGCTGTATACAGCTTGTCTCGAAAACGCCCGCTGGCACGCGTGGATTGCTTCAGTTAATATGCTGTGCATATGAAGTAATATAGCCCCTACCTCTTTGGAACTTTAGCTGTACAGTCACGGACAACTTAACAAGCGCGGAAATGCTTAAGAATTGCAGAGATGTTTAAGAAACGCAGATAGCCCCGGACATCTTATGATCGCCCCACAGCCAATGAAATCGTGAAACCAGCCGATCGCCGAAGAACCAATCACGAAGCAAGAAGCGGAACCCAATAAGCCACGCCCTGAGTTTCTTAAGTTGTCGCACACTATACTATTAACGGCAACACTCCGGTGGCAATCGCGTTTTCCCACAGAGCCAACATCGCGACGTGTACATTGCATACACGACCTTTCAACCTCGCAGGAGACACGCCAAATCAAACACCTGCAACATGGTGAGCGCCCTCTACGGCAAGATGGTGGTCGTCACCACGGCGGTCCTGGTGCTCACCGAGGTCATGGACAACGCCGTTCCTCTCCTCCACTTCCACGTAAGCATGCAGCCTCGCCGACCCCTTCGCCAACGGTCGGTTGGCCGGTGCACGAATGAGATCTCTCTCCCGGCCTCTAAAAGTAGCCACGAGAGGGATTTTCGGGCCACGTGACCGGCTCCGTTATAAGGACGGGGAACCATATAGAGCCGCAGTTCCGTTGTTCATGCATCGTACAAAATGCAATGTGTTCGTTTTCAGACATGATGACAGAATTATTCGCGCAAACACTCCGCAGATAAATAAGCATGTGTGTTCGAAGCAGGTTTTCTTTATACATATAAGTGTGTGCTTTGCACATGTCTGCACACGGTTTGTGTACGAGCAACGCGGCAGAACTGTCCTACGATTGGACGTCTCAGACAGTGTCTGCAAGCTGTCTTTCGTATGATGTCTTTAGCGTTGTGACTGCAGATTCAAGGTATCATTAGCGTTCCAGGCAGACGGCTTGAGAAGGTCAAGATGTAAGCGTAAACGAATCGCATTCGTGTATACTTTAGGGGGGCATATATGCGAGGTTATTTCTGGGGGAGGTCGCGTTGAGCGAGAATTAAAGGAAAACTACAGGCAGGGTAGGGTGTACACCTGCTGGGCGGAATCGGCCAGAACGCGAGGCACTTTTTCACCACGGTGCCCGTCGCGTGACTTCAAAATCCGCTTTGCAGTTCTTTTAACTGCCGTGGAGAAGGGTACCCAGATTCTCCAGCAAACCGACCCAGAGATGAGACTGCGGTGGCATCCAGAAAGGACGAGTGTCGTCTCGTCGATGAGATGTCGATTTCTCTCTTACATGGTGCTCATATCGACTGTCGATCGAGATGAGTGGAGTGAGGGCATTCTGAGGGCAGACCGACCCAGTGTAAGCGCTTCCGCAAGCAGGGGCGGACTTATGGGTTAGGCTTAAGTGGGCGGTGGGCGGTGGGTATCGGGTTGGGGGAGTATGCAAAAAGACCTGACGTCACGGGCGAAGCATTACACAGACCTATTTTGTTGGCCTTATAATTGCCATTTCATCAAAAACAAACATTATCCGTTTTTTTATTATTTTATAAATGAAGTTGTTTTTGAAAAAACTTAGTGCCCCCCCCCCCCCCCCCCCTCTTTGGAAAAGCATACCATCTAGGGTCTATAAAAACAGTTTAGGAGCAGAGTTGCCAAATGTACAAAAAATGGACCTGGACTACAGTGACACTTGAGTACTCGCGCCGAAACGTAGCTAAAGTAAGCAAAAAAGCATACTTACTGCAAAATTTATCTACGTAGAGATAGCTATGCCAGTGTAATCTTCTCACCGCCCTAATCTTTATTTTTTTATTTTTTTAATAACGAATATGAAACAATTTGCTAAATTATTGGTATCAAATGGTTCACCCATGCCACTGAGATACCTTTTTAGTTCGCTGACTTGTAAGATATATATGCGAAAAAAATTATTTTTAACGCAGTGTCCGATTTTTAGAAACTATGCTTGTCATCTCAACACACAGCGCAAAAAAAGAACTCAAAGGAGTTTTACGTTTTGTTGTCTTTTAGAGCACAGCTCTTAGGGGCCCGTTTCCGGCTTGAGCGGCGTCGCCGTCGCCGTAACCGCGAGATCACGTGACCCCCAGACGTCACGTGACACCCCCCCCCCCTCGAGGTCACGTGACTCCCCCTCCCTGAGGTCACGTGACCCGCCTGAGGCCACGTGATTCCCCTGAGGCCACGTGACCCCCTGAGGTCACATGATTCCCCTGAGGTCACGTGACCCCCCGAGGTCACGAGACTTCCTAAGGTCACGTGACCCGCCTGAGGCCACGTGATTCCCCTGAGGCCACATGACCCCCTGAGATGACGTGTTTCCGAGGCCACGTGGCCCCCTCCCCCGAGGTCACGTGACCCCCCTGACGTCACACGACCCCCCCCTTCTGAGGTCACGTGACCTCAAGGAGTCACCTATCCCCCGGTACGCTTTCATCCTCCTCCTCAAGAGCTAAATAGCCTACAACGCTAAGAAAAAAAAATTTAAAACATCTTCATAAATAAAAGATATTTAAAATCCTATTTTTTTATTTTTATTTCACCCTTTTCAAAATTTTATCAAGCAACATTGATGGTCTGCATTGCTTGGACCCGAAGTGCGTGACTGGATCCGAGTCCTCGCCGAACGCTGACGTCACACTCGCTCTCGATACGAGCTGAGCCGAGTTCACGCCGAACGCTCCATGCTCAGAGCAAGTGATCAAGCAATGGCGGACATGCGATGGCGCGGAATCTGGAAAAAAAAATCAATTATATCATGGGGCTTTTCTTTTTTCTAGCCATCTTATGTGGTTTTTAAAGAGTAAATAATCGAAAATATGCACACAGATTAACCGTATACTTATTGTAAAAACATATTCCGTTCGTCCAGTATAATACGGTTCATTGATTCGCATATTTTTTTCTAATCCCTTTGCAATTATTGAGAGTGCAAACGGAAGCAGAGACCGAGGTGTTCGCTTGACAGAATTATGTAAACGCCAAATCAAGTTCACGTAAACAAATAATACTTTTTACAGTAGTTAATCTATTAGTCGTGTAATCGGCTAACCGTTGACGCACGTAAACGCATGTAGCCATACGATACTCTACCAGAGGCAGTGTGCCGCCCTTTTTAATAAAGTACAGCACTGCGAATTCGATTCGCCCATCTGCTGTGTACTGTCTTTTAACGACAACCGTAAAATACGTGTCCCACACAAAAAATAAATAAAAAAAAGTTTTCTTTTATATGGCATTTATCACCAACACAGTGTTTCCAGACAAGCGTTATTTGCCCACACCAGGTGTGGGCACTGCGCGTGCGCAAAAACCAAATTCGGGAGGAGTGTAGCATCTGCGCATGCGCAGCAGCGACAGCAGCGCCACCGCAGTAGCGAACATTGGAGAGGAGCTCCTCACCCCTTCCTCCTCCTCCTCCTCCCACAGTTCCCCGCTAAATTTAGCTGGAAAATTGACTCCACGTGACCTCAACATCAATTCAGTTTCCCCGCTAAATTTAGTGGGGAAACTAACGTCACATGACTTCGTGTCACGTTAGCCGTGGACATATTCAGTTTCTTCGCTAGATTCAGCGGGAAAATTCACGTCACGTGACCTCAACGCCAATTCAATTTCCTGCTAAATTTAGCGGGGTGGTCACGGTGACGGCGACACCGCGAGACGCGGAAACGGGCGCCTAAGAGTTGTACTGTGCTCTAATACAATTTAATGGGACTTACCAGAAAGATATTTAGGTACGTGAAGGATATATTTCCTCTTCGTAGAAAACCCCGATTTCAATCAGACACTCAATAACGTGCTAAAAACCTTTAACGAAAGAGGATTAGGCCTGGAGTTTACGTTGAGACTCCCAAAGAGTACCATATTCAGTTTCTGGATCTCAATGTTGATGTGAGGGAGGGACATGTTTGTTTGTTGTACCATCCCACAACCGCCAAGTTCCCACTTGATTCTCGGCCTGCCCATTCAAAGCTGATAGGAAATGGTATTGCTGTATCATGTACTCTGCCAGCGCAATCAAAATCATGCGAGCACAAAATAAAGGAGGGTGTTTCAGCCCAAATAGCGAGGCTCAGAGAAGCAAAATTTCCAGACCCAGTGATTACCTCAGTCTGCGAAGAAGTAAAGAAAAGTATCAGCGTAGATGCGAGATACTGCGGGGAGAGAGACGTGGAAAACAGAAAGAAGGTGGCCACCATCCTTCTTTCTGTTGCGCTTGTCCGTGTCTACTCGCTTGTAACTGTCCCCTGTGTCGCGCAAAAAACCTCTATACTGCATCATGAACCAACTAGGCCAACAACAAGTTTTAATTGACCATCCTTTACGTTCACCGCATCTCGCACGGGTAGGGGGGGGGGGGGGGGGGGGGGGTGTCGCCTCAAAATACAAAATAGGTGTCATATATTTTTTTTTTTTGCCAGAAACAAGGTAAACAAGACTTGCACCCGCAGTAAAAAAACACGCACGCAAAAAAAAAAATAAAGTTACGGTTACACTGTGAAACATGTAACAAAGTTCGCGCAGTGTGTAAGCTCCACGTGCGGACAAATATATTTTGGTAAAACGGGGAAACGGTATTTAAACAACCATTTAAAGGGATACTGAACCGACATTTCTAGCTCACAAAACACGGCTGGAGCGATAGACGGGACTCTGCAGAACCCTAAATTTTTTTGGAAAAGAAATGGAAAATGAAGAAATTCTCATTCCTTCTTCTCCTCGCTTCGTCCCGTCGAGCTGGCGAACCGAAGCGAGAAGGAAAGAACCGATGCCGCTTCCCCTTATTCTCAACTGTTCGAGGACGATCGTGACGTCAAAGTCCTCGCCCTCGATGGCGCCCTTCTTTTCCAAAAATACGGCCATCAGTTTGGGATATCGATGTATGAGTGAGGTTTTGGAGCTCGCGCGTCCCGTTCAACGCGTCTGCGGCCTTATTTGGCGAAATACAAATTTCGATTCAGTATCCCGAAGTTAACAGAGTACAAAAGTTCGTTGAAAGCATTTGCTTACACTCATATTGCGATGCATTGTCGTGATTGTGGGTGGGAGCCAACATTGAGTATCACAGAAATATTTTTTTAGCACAAAGATTAGCTGCCTAGAGAGATAGTGGAGGCGTATACACCAACTCATGTTTACAAACAAACCGGAGCGCCCGGAGTGCCCCTAGCGGACGCCACCGGCGCCGCGCATGCGCGATGGGGGTGTGGGCAAGAAGCTCGCCGTCGCCCATAAACAAACCATTGAAATGTGATGTTGTCGGCATCGCTGTGAGTCCCCGCGCTTTTTTCCGCGTTGCAATTGTTGATTCTACGTCCTCCTAACGATGTCTGACTACTTGAGCGGCGTCAGCGAAATTAACGAGGCTCGTTACACCGCAAAACCTCGCGTGAATAATCTGACATGCGGCGATTGATTCCGCGTGGACGCCGCAGAATGTACGCTAACGCCTGATTCGCATGATGAGATTTCGCTCGCAATTTTCAGTAGCGACGTCGCTCGGACTGCAAAAGCGTGAACCGTAGCTGAGATGGTCGACGTCGATACTGAAAATCGCAAGCAGAATCTAACCAAGTGAATCAGGCATAACAAGTCGGTGATGGCCACTGGTAACAATGATCAACATCTCCTTGTATCTACTGTTTACGTCGAGCCTGCTTACCAACCTTCAAACTTAAGTCTTTTGAGGCCTGCACTTACTTCTTGTCGCAAGTAGCGGGCCCAAGTTTGGTCTACGGGCCGGTGTCCTCTAAAAGAGCAGACGACAAGCAGAAACGTATGAAAGAGCAGACGACAGTTCGAACGATCAGGCGACCGTTCGAACTTGAAGACGCACTGAACGTAGTCTGCAGGTGGTCCGTATAACTTGACGGTTTTCCGGCGTTCATTTTGGAACAAAACAAATAAATGTGATGGCCAAAAGTATTCGTGAATTCAACCCAAAATGCTTCCCGCCCAAGCAATCGTGGTCCGACGGCGTCTGGTTTTCCCTTTTCACGGCACATATCAACGTTCTCGGACGAGCCGAGCGCATGAAAACTGACCTTCAAACCTTTCTCGACCCTTTTGGTACAGCCCCAGTCGCAGCATTTTGACAAGAAGGCAGGTTTTTGTCTGGTTCCTTTCAAAACAACGCAGGAATGCACGTCTCAGATGGGCACTTCCGCCCACAGCTCCGGACCGGAAGTGCGTCCGACGCGCCACCACCGCGCCGTGACGTAACAGGGATGAGTTCGTGTATAAAAAAGACGGGCGCCTCTTGCGTCAGCCAACCGTCGTTGGCACTGCTAGACAGTGAGATTACATTTTTAGATTTGGTATAGTCTTTTTTGGCCCCTGTCATTACGCGTTTATTAACTGTCATGTAATCCGCTTGCGCGGGATCGCGCTGCCATAGAACGGAAGGTCGTTCTCCTGTGTCTTCCTAGCGAAATTTGTCAGTTGATACAGCGCTCGTCCCGTGCGTATATTCTACGTCCTCGTCCTTTCGCGCTGTTTCCATGATAAATTCCCACCAACTCGTCCAGCCATCCATTCTTCTAAGAGCTTCTCCTGCTGACCTGCAGCAGGGTATGACAACGCACTTGCCGCTGTTTCCTTCCAGGGCTACCTGTACGCTTATCTGCTCGGCGGCTCCGTCGTCTGCCTGCTGGGCGTCTACATCAGCATGCTGGTGGACAGGTGTCCCGCGCTCTCGGGGGAGTCACCGCGGCAGAACAGCCAAGACGCCGAAATGGCCGTTCGAAACCGGAGGGTCATGCTCAACTGTTCGGACGTCAGCGTCTACCTGCGCATCGGCGTCCTGGGTCAGTGGTCAACTTTTGGATTTGAGTGAGATCGTGGTTATGGTTAAAGCGTAACTTTAACCTCAAAAGGAGTGCAACCATAGGCGTTGACAGGTTACGAGTTCAGGGGAAGCTGCTCCCAGCTCCTTCCAGCAAAGAGAACGCTGGAGAGTAGGCGACCTCCTTTCCAGCGTTCGCCCCGCTAAAGTGGGAAAAGCTGGGAGGAGCTTCCCCTGAACTCCTAACATGGCACGGACTATAGACCTTTCCATCGCTTATCGCCCAGGCGAAAAATGTCGAGTCACTGGACTGTTACGCAGGCGCGGCGTACGATTTTTTCGCAAGAGGCGCTATTGCGCGTGCTCAGAAGGCGTTTAACAGTCCAGTAAGAAAATATGGCAGCTCGCAGAAGGCGTTTGTTGGAAAAAAAAATCCGCCTGGTCCAGGAATTGATTAGGAGACATCTACAAGACTAGCGCCCTACCAACTGAGCAGAACAGTAGCTAGCCGTCAGCAAAGCAAACGCCCCCAGTCCAGAGCTCGGATGATCACATTATCATATCCTCCTTTTTGCACCACCAGCCTTGCGCGTGTTGCATCAGTGTTAGCTTTAGTTAACCTCCGCGCTTCACACGTGCTTCAAGTAATTACAAAAAGTACAAATTTGGTCGTTTTCGATGAAGCTGAGTAAGTTCTTAATTAGAACCATATGGGGAGAGCCCAGGATCCTGGATTCAATCCCCACGCGTTTCGATTTGGATGAGCATCGAACCGGCGTGCGGTCGTGTATCACTACTGCGTGATTCACGTTAAAGACCCCAGTCTAGCGGTTGTACTGCACTGGCTAAATTTCTCTTCTACAGCTGGGAGACTCGTGGCCCGCTGAGGCAGACCAAGTTCTAGGCTGTATAAAGATACACGCACCCCAATGTTTTTAGAGCAATATCACTATCTTTGTTCATTACAAAGTTAATTAACAATTTATAGTTTTCCATTTGACTTTTCGTGATTAGCCGTCCCTCTGGCTGTATAGCTCACCTGCAAACCGTATTACTGCAGCTTGATAGCCACGCGCAGAGGTTCGCAAAGCGGAACTGAGAGGGCACGTACGCGCTAGGTTGCAGACATCGTTAAGCCGATGTCACACTGCTTATACATCATACCAATGACAGTCTGAAAACATCAGTCACCGCCATGTCCGTGGTTCGAATGCCGCGTACCAAGTTTCTCCTTGAACTCGTTGCCATGCGGCATTCAAAGCACGGATCTCGTGGTGACTTGCGTTCGAATCTGTTTGCTTGTTGTCTTTTGTATGATGTATAGGCAGTGTGGCCCCGGCTTTTGGGTTCGGTTATTACCGTCATTGCAGCGACTGGTCAAGCAACTGCCCGAATGCTCGTCCAGGCACTGATCGACATGAGCTCAAATTGAATGCTCACGCAATGCACGTGTCCAATCGCATTTGAATATCGGCATTATAGGACAATCCGCGTGACTGTGCCAACACTGTAGTCCCTAGCTAAGACTACGTCATCAAGTTCTACGAAGGACTGAGTAGATATAAGTTCACTTTTATCGTTGAGATGAAACCGCGACAAATATGTTTCTTCTTCAGTGGCGTTGCGTGCGAAAATAGGAGGGTCGCACTAGAGTCACTGTATGGGTTCCCAGACTAACGAAACTCCAAAGGTTCGTTCTAGAACCGCGGCGCAGCGCTGAAACCGAAACCATGGCGCCGCCATCTTGCGTCCACGCGTCGACGGGGGTATGAAGGCAATAGTGACATGCATTGGAGCGTGTTGAAGGAGCTGGTTCATTCCGCGATACGCGCAATGAACCAGCTGTAATCGGCACTCACCTCACGAAGCTTGCTTGTTGCAGTGAGATCGAAGTCTTTCCATTTTACTACGGCCAGCCAAGCCTTCTTCCTCCGACCTTGCAGTTGCGTTTTTTCCAAACGGGATTCGAAAGAGTCTCTTTCCATTCTCCGACCTTCTGCTGCACCCAAAAGTGCAACGAGCAGGCATTGTGCCACTAAGTACGCAACCTCCTTGTTTTTGACGTCGGTAACCGCGTGGAAAAGGCGGCGCTTAAACGCGCGTCCGATGAGCAGTCCTTTGCTGGACCCAAGATTGTAGCGATTAGAGCCGCTTGAAGCGCTGATGGAGGTGAGTCTAGCTGTGCTTGTGTCACGTGATCGCTGCCGTCCAATGATGCTCACCAAGCCAAAACATGATTGGCTAGAGTAAGTATGTTGTCGGCAAAACGCAAAAAGAAAAGGAATGCGTTACTCTGGGAACCCATACAGTGACTCTAGGTCGCACCAGTGCCAGTCAGCATGTCTGAAGTGATAAACATTCCAACGAAGTATGCACCAACTAAACTTTCTGACGTCACGCCACCACGGTGGCGCTGCTGTCGGCACTGCGCATGCGCAGAAGCTTCGCCTCACCCGAGTCTGGTTTCTGCCTACGCGCAGTGCGCTCCTGGCCTTGAGATGTACAGTGCTAATCACACTTCGTGCGGCTTTCTCCGGGGAGCGCTAGACTGGTGGCATTCGCGGAAACTAAGCTAGTCACGTGGCGCAACATGGAACGGCCCACTCGAGGGGTGTCCTGCCCACTCTATCAGCTGGCGCCGAACACGGAAGGCTGCTCGCACGCTTTTTACAAGCATCATTGCTCGAACAATAAACAAACTGAAGCCTGAAGGCGTATCAACGATGTCGTCGTCAAAAAACAAAAATATACCATAAAGCACTTAATTTTTTTCGCTTATCAAGCTGATAGAGTGGGCAGGACACCCCTCGAGCGGGCCGTTCCATGTTGCGCCACGTGGCTAGCTTAGTTTCCGCGAATGCCACCAGTCTAGCGCTCCCCGGAGAAAGCCGCACGTTCGCAGCACTGTACATTTCTGGCGCGAGCGCTCGTTCTGCCGAAGAACGCTTCAAAACATTGACCTCAAGTTATTTGGGACGCGTATTTTTTTAAAACTTAATTGGGACACTTTTTTTTTCTTAAATAATTTTGTCACACACAAAAAAAAAATATATATCATTTTTGCGCAATACTTACGTTGTTAGACGGAATTTCGCTGGAGGTCACGGCCGCTCTAAACCCCGCCCTATTACTACTGGATTGGCTTGGCTGCTCGACCGAACACGCTAACAAGCCTAGTGTCTCTCTTTCGCGACATCCTGTGCGCCAAAAGTTTGTCGTCTGACACTGCCTGCTAGATATGCGAGCAGACACGCGGCAGCCTCCGGCATCGTCTGCTATTTCACCGCCGTTTATCGTCGTCTGCAATGCCCGTGAGACGCGGACACGAAAGCTGCGCGTCGGCGTCCGTTTTCGTTCTCCTCCGTCTGCTATTCCGCCTCCGTCTAAAAACTTCGGCAACGCTCAGGAGACGCGTCCATGAAAACGGCATTCTAGCATTCAACCATATTTCATGAGCTGCGGTCCAATACAGGCGTCTCTCAGCGTCTATCGATGTGCAGTAATAAGCGACCGAAAGAACGAGAAGAAATAAAAAAAAAAATATATGCGAATATCATCTCAACTTCTTTATATATTTTTTTTTATTACAGTGTTTTTTAAGGGTTAGTGCCGGATTAAGGCGTTTATTTTGGGGTCTCTGGGCTCAGGCTGTTATAAGGTCCTTACCGAGGATAATAATAGTAACCATGGTGGTGGTGATGATGATGGTGATGGCAGTGGTGGAGGTAACGATATGACGAAAATTGTATATTTTGCCAACTTGTTAAATCTACGTATGTTTTATCTTATGATTATTGTCAAGCCTTTTTAAGACCCTAGATTCAATGAAATTCAAGTTTTCCTTGCCTGTAATGAGGCGGATGCGATTTCGATTAGAAACTATTTCGCCAATGATCAAGCACTCTAGCACTTTACGATATCAATAATTTTGAGGTACAAAATTAAAATCAAATAAACACTGCCAAAAATATTAAGATTTTTCGTTCACATCCAGTAGCTTCGAAAGAAAACTAAATTGCTTCCGTTGAAAACGTTGACTCCGTTCATGAACCTGTTTGACTAGAATAGCAGCAAGATTAATAGAGCACATGCCCGGGCCAGCTTACACAAAAATTATCGTGATGTCGACTTGGAGCACAGCTGACCCTCTTGCTAACATGTCTATAGACACTATTACTCACACATGAATTGAGTTATGCCAAGGAGGATAGAAGTGTAGGACAGGGCATGACGTCAGCCGCGTAGCCTCCACAAGCCATGATCCCTTGACGCCTCGCATCTTTCTCATTTTCCTCCTTACTCTCCCCACTTATCAGGTCAACGTGACCACATCACGTGACCGTAGCTAGCCTTCGTCTAGCCTTCGATCTGACAAAGCCTGCAGGACGGAGCGCGCGCAAGCCTGCAAGAAATCCTTCTACAATGAACCATCCACCTCACACGTGACATGTCACGCGCACCAATCGCCAGAGAGATCTACGGTCATGTTGGCCACATCGTTTAAACTTTTTATGACTAGGCTTCACCCATATTGCAACGTGCTCCCTCCTAGTACTTATAACCTCCTTGAGTTATGCAGCAACCGAACGGATACGTGCAAAATTCCCATTACAAGAAAGCAAAATTTCGCCTCCCGTATATGGCATGCCTCGCAATTCGACAACTGCCACAAAAATCTACAACACTTATTATTGTAATTGCTCCCAATTATTGGAAGTGTTTTAACATTCAACTAGAGCTCTGTTAATTATTACTGATGTGGACAGTGAAGGAAGCGACATAGGCAAGAAAGTAATTTTGTTGGTTGAAGTGGCCTTTATGTGATCAAGCTACTTCGTAAACACTCTTCTAATAACTGAACCGTGGTTCAGTTATTTCTCATCGAGAAACAACTACAGTTGTTTCTCGATGTTGCTGTCCGAAAGACGCGCCATCGGAGAAGAGGGTAGGGCTTTTGGAAGATCAGTCTTGAAAACTACCAGTCCTTCTTCATAAAGGTCGGAGTCATTGTTCAGTTTGAAAGGAAGAGGGAATAAAGGTTAATTTATGTGTATCGTCTAAGTGACCAATGTTTGAGCTACAAGGTGCTTTCGATGTCTGGTAATCTGTTCTTTTGTTGTAACTGTAGGTCTCTTTGTGGAAGTTCAGTGGTGGCTGTAGTCGGCCTTAGCTCTCTGGGTGTATGAGAGTTCTTGGAAGCAAAAAAGGTAGCTGAGTTAAGGAGGTCCCGCTTCTTGCGTCTTTTCCCTCAACTAAATGTTTTGTTTTCTGTGTCGCATTCCAGGGCACAAAAAAAAAATGTTTATTAGTTTGCTTGCACTCGACTGTAACCAGCGAGGACCCCACAAAATAAACCCTAAAATAAGTAACAAAAAGAACGAGATTTTGCTCTTCGTAAAGTTAGTTTTTTTATATATATTTTTAGTTACCCACATAGAAATAAAATAAAAACTACCTCACTGGACGAAAAAAAAAAAGGAACCCGGTTCCTTTTTCCGTTTTAGTTAAAATATAACAAGTTCCCGTTCCAGTTCCACCGATGCAAGATGGAACGGTGGCGTTCCTTCGCTCCTCTTAAAAAAAAAAAAAAAGAACGCGTTCCAGGAACGCAGTTCCTTGGAACGCAGTTCCTTGGAACGCCGTTCCTTGGAACGCAGTCGCGTAGTCTTGGCTAATCCTTACACGCCATTTTACCGCACAAGTCACACTCACTCGATGGTCGACTCAGTGCTACGAAGAATGCCTTTATCCAGGGGCAGACAGACACGTAGGCAACCTACTTTGCACGATTGATAAAACGCACACTATTACCCTAGTTACACGAGCACCCGGGTACTCCGGCGTTTTCCTCATAAGCGGGTTTCACATGCAGCGATTTTGGCCCTAAAGCGGCGCGATTTCTGCCGTCGCGGCGCTCGTGCCGCAGAATTGCTGGTGCTGGCCAGAGCGCCGCGACGGCAGAAATCGCGCCGCTCTAGGGCCAAAACCGCTGCATGTGAACTAGGCTTTTCTCTGCATGATTTGCCTAAAAATTTGCTAAACGCACCAACAAACATTGCGGAAACAGTAACCCAAATATTGGGCAGTTCGCGAAGGTATTGCATTTACAATTTTGGTCCTCACCGTGTTTTTCAAAGCGAAAGTTTGTACTAGCAACAATAAAAAAGGGACGCCAGGGAGAGGCAGGAGCTCACAAGGGCTCATTCACACTGGAAGCGGATCCGCGTTCGCAAAGCGGTTGCGAACGCGGTTGTATAAGGATTCAGTACAATTGCACGCGCATTTGATGACATCAAATGCGCGCGCAATTGCACTGGATCTTTATACAACCGCGTTCGCAACCGCTTCGCGAACGCGGATCCGCTTCCAGTGTGAATGGGGGGTTAGGACCTTAATTGTTTCTGCTTTCATCGACGGAAAGAAGTATGATGTCAGAGTGTTAACTTCGACGGTGTTGGTTGAACAATATCGTGACTGTTCCACCGACCTTTTTACCCACACCATCAAACTTATCGTTCGCAGCTGCTGACAAGTAGCAAGGATCGCAGCTCGTGACGTCACGAATGAAAATCATAAGAAGGCGCCACCGAAACATCTCGGCGTTAATTGGACTTTGGAGATAACGGTCGCTGGTCATATATGTATATTTTTGTTTTCTTCGTCTTGCGCAGTGTTTGGACTGGGCATGCTGATTTCGTGCGGCCTGGAGATCGCCACCATCTTCACGATTCCCAAGCCGTGCACGGACCCAGTGAACCTCGCCATGCCCGTGCTTCAGGCGCTCTTCGCCTTCCTCCAGATGCACTTTCTCTTCATGAACTCACAGGTGAGCGAAGAGTCCTCGCTTCGTGCTTTCACGCGCGCTTCGAGGGACGAAGCGGAGACACAAAATGTTCGAAGGAAATCTAGGCGTCATGCTACGCGTCATGTAGATGAAAAGGAATACTTCATGCCGTACTGATCAATGCAAAGGACCCGTGATTAGCTCCTATGGGCAATTTAATCTCAAATCGTGCAAGCAAAAAAAAAAAAATTAAATTGTTAATTTTGACGAAATATTTCAGCCTTTCCACACTGGTGAAGAAGGAAGACAAGCGAAGCTGTACTATGGCGGGAATAAAGTAATGGCCGGCCGCAAGTCGGCAAGCCAGAGTGGAAAGGCTGGAGAGGTTGCCGCCATCTATGAGCGACGGCGGCAAGCAGACAACCAGCAAACACAACACTCTGGACAGCTACCGCCATCTATGAGCGACGGCGGCAACCAGAGTGTTGTGTCGACATTTCTTTGCGGGCGGACATGATCCTGGGGAAAGTAACCCTTAACAACTCCACTGTAAAAAAAAAAAAAAACAACTTAGTTTCGTTATGTAGAAGAAATCTAGAACCCGCGGTCTCAGAAAAAAAAAATATATATATATATATATATATATATATATATATAGAGAGAGAGAGAGAGAGAGATTTATGGAGCGCACAAGCGGCCGCAGTGGAAATGGGCGTTTTTCCTCACTGTCGAAGGTCGCATATGTTTGACGTGGGTTTTTGCCTCTACGTTATTTTCATTTTTGTATATAAATCTTTAGACAATATGAAGAGGTCTTATAATAATTAAATAGTTTTAAGCATTTTACTTTTTTTTACGAAATCGCCAAAACTCACTTTACAGGTAAAGATTTTTGTATACAATTTTACAGGCTCCTTTTTTATGTCCATAAAAAGCCCCAAAGGAGTGCCTTATAAATACATTAAAATATTTCAGATGTTCGCATTATCTCCTTCGACAACATCACTTGAAAATCCTAAGTTGCAATTTTGAGATAAGTCGTATCAAAAACCCCTTTTTTGCGTTTTAGTAGAGAGTGTTTTCTCCCAAAAATCACATAATTGTGTGAACTTCGGTTCACACATACAGTGCAGTTCTAACTCAGCGCTATATAATCAGCGCTGGAAATAGCGCTGACCTTGCTGATTCAGCAACTGACTTCGCGACCGCCATATTGGTGATACAACGCTGATAAAGCGCTGAATCAGGGCTGAGTCAGGTTCAAGTCAGCGCTGTTTCTAGAGCTGATTTACCCCCTGCGATGTTTGTGTGAATCGGTCACACATCGCAGCGCCAACTCAGCGTTATAGACACGTACAGCGCTGACAAACTTCGACTATATTGTACCACAGACGAAAACGGATCGACAAGCGTAAAAGTGAAAATGAATGTTTAATTGGCGAACTTGTGCCAGAAACAAAAGAAAGAACGAACGCGGAGAAAGCAGCAGCGAGCATCGAGGTATCGGCGTTTCAGCTGGCTAGCGCAAGGGTGCGAAAGTGAGTCCACGGCAAGGCAACGCTGGTCTCCTTATCGGCTACACTCTGGAACACTCGGGGGACTTACCGGGCAAGGTCATGTTGGTCTACTTATCTATTACACTTGGTATCTCGAACATTCGAATCGAACGTCGAATCATTTGGGGTAAAACTAAACGCGAATCTTCCACAAGTACGTAGTAGCGTTTGTCCCTGCGCGCGGCAATATCAGCGCTCCACTGCGTGGGACCCTTCCTTTTCCTGCGTGCACACATAATCTGCGCTAACTCAGGGTTGAGTCAGCACTAACAGTATACGCTAATGCAACACTTTTCGCTTACACAGCGCCGAGATGCCTATGTGAACTGACCTTTACAGACGTGGGTAGAGTTCGGAAAATGTTTGTGTTTACAATTATTTTGCATAATTATAACTCTTGAGAAAGAAAAATGAGGCTGGTTTTAGATAAGATGGAAAAGAAGATGGCCGGTCGGCAATCCTTATTTACTTGGTGATTTTTATGTCACTGCTTGATGTACGTCTAGAATAAACGTGACTACACTACGTTACTTTTCGTTCAGAAAAAAAAAATAGCCGCAGTGGACACATTGCCGTTTTGTCACAGGCTTTGTGACGCAGTTGTAGGTGTAAAAATCGCATGAGGAGTCGCATTTAGACAATGACAGTTGCCTTGGTTGCAGGCTTTGATGAGTTGTCTATGGATAAATAGTAATAATATACTTTTTCACGTATAGCTGTGATGCTGCAGAAGGGCGGCCGGGTCGCCCCTCGAGTCACTGAATGTTCCCAGAGTACTGAAACTCCCACGTGCTCTCGTGAAGCGGCTGCGGCAGCTTTACCAGAGCACGCGCTCGGCCGCCGGCCGCAACCTCGGCAGTAGCAAAACTTTGGCCGTCCATGCCAGTACTAGAGTCGCTGAATGTTCCCAGAGTACCAAAACTCCCACGTGCTCTCGTGAAGCGGCTGCGGCCGCTTTACCAGAGCACGCGCTCGGCCGCCGGCCGCAACCTCGGCAGTAGCAAAACTTTGGCCGTCCATGCCAGTACTAGAGTCGCTGAATGTTCCCAGAGTACCAAAACTCCCACGTGCTCTCGTGAAGCGGCTGCGGCCGCTTTACCAGAGCACGCGCTCGGCCGCCGGCCGCAACCTCGGCAGTAGCAAACCTTTGGCCGCCCATGCCAGTACTAGAGTCGCTGAATGTTCCCAGAGTACCAAAACTCCCACGTGCTCTTGTGAAGCGGCTGCGGCCGCTTTACCAGAGCACGCGCTCGGCCGCCGGCCGCAACCTCGGCAGTAGCAAAACTTTGGCCGTCCATGCCAGTACTAGAGTCGCTGAATGTTCCCAGAGTACCAAAACTCCCACGTGCTCTCGTGAAGCGGCTGCGGCCGCTTTACCAGAGCACGCGCTCGGCCGCCGGCCGCAACCTCGGCAGTAGCAAAACTTTGGCCGTCCATGCCAGTACTAGAGTCGCTGAATGTTCCCAGAGTACCAAAACTCCCACGTGCTCTCGTGAAGCGGCTGCGGCAGCTTTACCAGAGCACGCGCTCGGCCGCCGGCCGCAACCTCGGCAGTAGCAAAACTTTGGCCGTCCATGCCAGTACTAGAGTCGCTGAATGTTCCCAGAGTACCAAAACTCCCACGTGCTCTCGTGAAGCGGCTGCGGCAGCTTTACCAGAGCACGCGCTCGGCCGCCGGCCGCAACCTCGGCAGTAGCAAAACTTTGGCCGTCCATGCCAGTACTAGAGTCGCTGAATGTTCCCAGAGTACCAAAGCTCCCACGTGCTCTCGTGAAGCGGCTGCGGCCGCTTTACCAGAGCACGCGCTCGGCCGCCGGCCGCAACCTCGGCAGTAGCAAAACTTTGGCCGTCCATGCCAGTACTAGAGTCGCTGAATGTTCCCAGAGTACCAAAACTCCCACGTGCTCTCGTGAAGCGGCTGCGGCCGCTTTACCAGAGCACGCGCTCGGCCGCCGGCCGCAACCTCGGCAGTAGCAAAACTTTGGCCGTCCATGCCAGTACTAGAGTCGCTGAATGTTCCCAGAGTACCAAAACTCCCACGTGCTCTCGTGAAGCGGCTGCGGCCGCTTTACCAGAGCACGCGCTCGGCCGCCGGCCGCAACCTCGGCAGTAGCAAAACTTTGGCCGTCCATGCCAGTACTAGAGTCGCTGAATGTTCCCAGAGTACCAAAACTCCCACGTGCTCTCGTGAAGCGGCTGCGGCCGCTTTACCAGAGCACGCGCTCGGCCGCCGGCCGCAACCTCGGCAGTAGCAAAACTTTGGCCGTCCATGCCAGTACTAGAGTCGCTGAATGTTCCCAGAGTACCAAAACTCCCACGTGCTCTCGTGAAGCGGCTGCGGCCGCTTTACCAGAGCACGCGCTCGGCCGCCGGCCGCAAGCTCGGCAGTAGCGAAACTTTGGCCGTCCGTGCCAGGGTAGCTAAACTCGTCGAGCACAACTTTGTGTCCGAAAGTTGCGGAACGCGCTAATTGGACTGTCGCGACGCTGACGTCAAGCCGAGCGAGGTGTCAATCATCCAAGCTCTCTCGGTGCTCAAATTCCAGCGAGAATGTAAAACACAAAGTCGTAGCGAGCTCCATCGAAGCGCATGCGACCAACACCGTGGTGCCAGCCGATTGAACGGCTGCACTGATGACGTCTCGCCCGAGTGTCCCTACATCCCTACGCCGCGTTAGAGTCAATGATGCGTAGATTGTACCTAGGCGGCCGGTAAATACTCTGAACTTTCTCGTCGCAAGATCGTCGTTTGTGGAAGTTATTGGTGACGACAAAGTGACAGTTCACAACTTTGGGAAGGAGTTATTTCAGGCCAAAATCTTCGCTTCGGAATCGAAGCGAAGATTGAACTTTGTGATGCTGTGGAGCCGTGCGCGGTGTACGCGGGCGGCTTTATAGAGCTTATCTTCCACCACTGTCAACAACGCCACCGGGGTCACCCACAGGCGGTTTGTGTATAGACGTCGGTAATGTCTGAGAGATGAGGAAAAACGGGGGAGAAAAAAAAAAAAAAGCTGAAGAAAGGGAAATCAAAAAAAAAAAATTAAAGACGTTTACAAATCTTTGTAATGCGAAATTAGAGCTCAACTCTTGAGGAGGAATAAGGGAGGGTACGGAGAGGAGGGTATACCCCTCCTCCTCTCCTCCCCTCCTCCTCCCATTCATCTTCTCCGCTAAATTTAGCAGGGAAAAGGACATCACATGACAATCTAGCGGAGAAGTGAATTGGCGTTGAAGTCACGTTGCTGGGAATTGAATTGGTGTTGGAGGTCATGTGACGTCAATTTCGCGCTAAATTTAGCGTTCCGACGGCGACGCCCACGCCGCAAAACCCGGAAACGGCGCCGAAGAGCTGCGCTCTAAACAAATAATTAAGGTACGACCAACACACACACACACGGACAAACAAATAGGAGTCTCAAGAAAGGCCGTAGAAATTGTTCGGGAGAAAGGGAGAGGAGGTGATGTTGGTGAAGAAGGGGGATAT